GCCTACTGCCACTACAGCAAATAAATCTGCATTTTGGGAAGAAGGAAGAAAGAAAAAGCTGGTAGAAGATAAGAAGTGGGGACCTTTCTTTTGGGTCATCTCGCATCAAGCAGCCCTCTCAGGAGATATCACAGAAAGTACTATACAACACTTTTGCCTCCATCTCAGGGATGGAAACTTAATCACATGAACATATCCATGGGAGTCAGGATATGCAAGGGAGGCAGGATAATCCTTCAGCTGGGCACAGTGCTGCTTCAGTTAAAATCTGGATTCTGTTATTAGGGAGAAAAAAGAAAGGTGACATATTAGGTTGCATGTAGCTATGAGTAAACCATATAAGGGTTATTAAAGTTAAGATGAGAGATAACTTATTTTTTCAGCTCTGTTGAGATATAATTGTCACATAACATGATGATTTGATACATGGATATATTGAGAAATGATTTCCACAATAAGGTTAGTTAACACATCCATCACCTCACATAATTACCTTTTGTGTGTGTGTGTGTGTGTGTGTGTGTGTGTGTGTGTGGTAAGAACATTTAGGATCTACTCTATTAGCAATTTTCAAGTATATAATACAGTATTGTTAACTACTGTCTTTGTGGACTTTACACTCACATTCCCCCCTCCCCCCCAAAAAAACAGGGGATGGGGATGGGGAGAGTGTTAGCTGCTCCAGAATTTCCATATATAGGAAAAGTTACAGAGGAGTCAGAGATGGGACTTAAGGCTTCATTTATATAGTAAGGACATTGTTATTACTTAGATTTTAATCTACAAGTAAATAAAAATAGTTTTCCTTAAGTACTTTTAGTCACACATTGACCTGGAGGAGGGCATGGCAATCCGCTCGTGTTCTTGACTAGAGAATCCCATGAACAGAGGAGCTTGGTGGGCTCAGACCGTAGGGTCACAAAGAGTTGCACAGGACAGAAGCGACTTAGCATGCATGCACGACCATCTTAAAGACTATTATTATTTTATTGTTGTTGCCCGTTATTGTTTTCCTTGCGGTTGTTAAGGTGAAGTCTAGTGAAGATTAATGGGGATACAAGTCTCTATCCACTCCAGTACTCTTGCCTGGAAAATCCCATGGAGGAGGAGCCTAGTGGGCTGTAGTCCATGGGGTCGCAAAGAGTCGGACAGGACTGAGCGACTTCACTTTCACTTTTCACTTTCATGCATTGGAGAAGGAAATGGTAACCCACTCGTGTTCTTGCTTGGAGAATGCCAGGGACGGCGGAGCCTGGTGGGCTGCCGTCTATGGGGTCGCACAGAGTAGGTCACGACTGACGCGACTTGGCAGTAGCAGCAGCAGCAAGTTTCCATTCCCCCCACCAGCCCTTCATGTGTTAGTCACTCAGTCGTGTGCGACTCTTTGCAACCCCATGGACTGCAGCCCACTAGGCTCCTCTGTCCATGGAATTCTCCAGGCAGGAACACTGGAGTGGGTTGCCATTCCCTTCTCCAGGGGATCTTCCCTACCCAGGAATCGAACTAAGGTTCGATTGCAGGCAGATTCTTTACCATCTGAGCCACCAGAGAGCTAAGGACTATATTCTAACTTCTAACCCTGTTTGCCCCAGTGCTTTCTTGCATCAAAGGCTGTACCACCCTTCCTCAGCGGATTGCCCATTCTAACATTTCTCTGTCAAGTCGTTTCATCCAGGGGTGGACTCCCATTCTGACCTCGCCACACTCCCTGAGTGTTTGTCCCTGTGGCAATCCCCTGCTGTTGTTTAGTCTCTAAGTCGTGACCCACTCTTACGACCGCATGGACTGTATCCCGCCAGACTCCTTTTCTATGAGATTCTCCAGGCAAGAATATTGGAGGTGTAGTAACCTTTGCCTCACTCTAAAAACCCACCGAGGCCTATTTCTCCGGTGTACGGAATGGACACACTTCCAAGATGGCGGCCCGCTCGCAGAAGCACCATTGGGTGCAGCCATGTTCTCTACCTAACAGCGCCCCCCGGGGAAACTGCACAAAGCCTCTTAACCTCTCTTCGCCCTGCTGAACGCGGCTGTCAAAGTAATTCGGGGCATGCGCAATGCCAACGGTCCGTAAGGGGCGGTGCTAGAGGTCTGACTGGAAGCGGAAGTGCCTCGCGGAGGTTTTTTTTTGTTTTTTTTTTTGCGGCTTGTGTGGGGAGCTTTTTCACACTTATTTCCGAGAGGTGTCTGTGGTGATTTTGGTTGGTCTTGATTAGGAGTTCTGTGAGGTCAGTGATGGAAGGCTTGTCCGTGGAGTTAGTGATGATGGTTTTCGGCTTCAGTGGTGGGGGGTCGGGTCTGTGGCGTCTCTTGATTGGTATCAAAGAGTTCAGTGACGGGGTTCTGGGCAACGATGAGTATCTTTAAGATGAGCGACTGGGATTTTTGGGCCCAGTGATGGAAGTCTGTGGTCAGTGGTAGGGCTTGGGGAGTCAGCATGGGGTCTGTCATGAGCTTGTTTTCTAAACATTCACAAGCATTTACCTTATTGCTCACATCTCAGTGTTTGGGGCTTTTTGTCTTTTTGAATTTCAGTTTTTTCTTTTGACTCGTGAATTATTCAGAAGGGCATCCTTATTTCAAATAATGCCTCTGGGTGAGGCTCAAGGGTAAAAATTGCTTATGGCCCAGTTCAGGGTCAGTTTCCATAAACGTCATTCATCTTTTACAGAAAAGCAATGTGTGTTCTCTAATAATTATATTGTTTCATAGCGAATTAATTTCCATATTATTTTCTCTGCTTAATTAATTACCGAGACAGGTAAACTCACATTGGAAAGGTTATTTGTCCTCTTGCCCTTCTTTCTGCCAGGTTCTGGTTTGTATATTTGAAACTATTATTTGTATTTGAACAGTTATTTGTATTTTTAGTAATAGTTGTACCTAAATAACTCAAAAGATACTATAGCCATTTAAGCACCCACCACTAATTTATATAAGAGCTCTTTTTCCAAAATGCTTTCCAGCATTTTAAAAAAAGCTTTTACAGTTCTGAGGGAAAAATTATATCTAATTGTTCTAGTGCAGTCGGCCATCTAAATTTCCTTTTCTGTGAATTTGCATGTCCTTTGTCACTTTTTTAAAATCTATTTGATTGCTAGTTGTTTTTTTTCTTGACATTAGGGATAACCTGTCATCACATATTGAAAAACTTTATATATATATATATCTTCATTTTTATTTTTAAGGTATATCTTAATGTATAATCAGATATTTGTTTTTTCTTTTATAGTTTCTGGGTTTTCTCTCATTTTTAAGTGTATCTTAATGTATAATCAGAAATATTTGTTTTTTCTTTTGTTTCTGGGTTTTCTCTCATTTTTAAGTTAGATCTCATTTATAAGTTAGATATTTATAAGCAAGATCCCTCCTACTCCACCAGAATATTATACAAATGTATTCTCCTAAAGTTTATTTTAATATTTGCTGAGGTTTTTTTTTTCTTTGAGGTTTTAAAAATGTGTATACTTCAAATACTTGTTCCTGTTGGAAATCAATCTAAAGTATAGTGTGAGATGGGGATCTAGTTTGTTTTGTTCCAGGTGGATGGCCAGTTACATCAATACCACTTATGCAATGAATGTCTTGTGTACATTCAGTTGAATGTCACACACATAAATCATTAATTAATACATACATAAATCATTGTGTGGTCTGTTGTTTTTGCTTTGATTATGTTGTTTTTATATTGTTTTAATATCTAATAGTGCATGGTAATTGCTGATATTTATTGCATACTTCTTGTGTTCCAGGGAGGTATTGAGTACTTTACAAGCACCATCGCATTTGATTTTCATAATTCTATGAGGTAGACACTTTCATTCTTATTTTTGAAACTAAAGCTAAAGTAACTTCTTCATTTTCTCATAGCCAAAAAATAGTTGAGCTGCAGTTCACATCTTTAGTACTGTTACTCTGTATCTCATGTTTTTTCCCATATTTTACCATGAATAACTTATCACAGGATTTGTTAAACTTTCTGTCCTTCACAGAATACGTGTATGTTCAGTTGCATCTGACTTTGTGACCACACAGACTGTAGCCCACCAGGCTTCTCTGTTCGTGGGATTTCCTAGGCAAGAATACTGGAATGGGTTGCCATTTTCTCCTCCAGGGAATTGTCCCGACCCAGGGATTGAACCTGTGTCTCCTGCATTGGCAGGCAGTTTCTTTACCACTGAGCCAACTGGGAAGCCTATACTCCATAGTGCTAGTTCTCAAAATGGGGTTCCTGAAACAGCAATATTAGCATCACCTAATAGAAATGTTAGAAATGCAGATTTGGGGGCCCTGCTATGATCTGAATATTTGTTCCTCCCAAATTCATATGTTAAAATCCAAAACCCAAAATTATGGTGTTAGAAGATGGGACCTTTGGGGAATGATTAGGTCATAAAAGTAGAACCCTGGTGAATGGGATTAGTGCCCATACAAAAGAGACACCAGAACTCCCTACAACAGAGAGCTCCCTAGCCCCTCCCACTATGTGAAGACACAGCTAGAAGGTGCTGGCTTTGAACCAGGAAGAGTGCCTTCATCAAAACATGATCATGCTGACACCTTGATCTTGGACTTCCCAGCTTCCAGAACTATGAGCAGTAACTTTCTGTTGTTTATAAGCTACCAAGTTGGTGGTATTTTGTTAGAACAACCTGAATAATCTGAGATGGGCCCTATCCTAGACCTGCTGAATCAGAAACTGTTAGAGTGTGCAGATTTTTAACTGTATTACTATTTTAACAGATCCTCCAGGTGATTCGCGTGCACACTCAAGTTTGAGAACCACTGTTCTGTGGTGTCTGGCTCAGGAAACTACGCCTTGGAGTTCCCTGGAAATGTTGATGTGATGATTGACCATGTGGACATTATCTTTCCAGGAGCCTCTGGACTAGATCTTCCTCCAGACTTCACCTCACCACTCTTCAGCGGCTCTGCTTGAGTTTATATGTGCACCAAACTTTAGTTTGCTGAGAGAATAAAGGTTGAGACCCAGCATGACCATGCCAGCTAATCGGACCTCTCCCCAGAAATCTCTGGGCCTGGCTCCAGAGGAACGTGGCAGCTCACGTGAGGTGAGGAGGAGGAATCCCAGTGGGTGGAAATTCATTCTGGGAGTAGTTTGATCTTTACAACAAGGTTTTGGATAAAGATCATACCTAAAGTTATTCCCAACCTTGTTTTTGGTATTTGTTTCATTTTTTTAACAACGTAACCTTGATGTCCCAACCAGTCAATGATAGTAAAAGAACTGAAAATTATAAATATAGATTCAGAAGTCAAATGTATTAACTATTCACAGCAAAACAATGCTCAAAAATAATCTGGAAGTGAAAAGTTTAAGTGAAAGTTAGTCACACAGTTGTGTCTGACTCTTTGTGATCCCAAGGACTGTAGCCTGTCTGGCTCCTCTGTCCATGGAATTCTCCAGGCAAGAGTACTGGAGTGGGATGCCATTTCCTTCTCCAGGGAAAAATAATCTAGAGAAATAATTTATCTCAAAGAAATAAAATGTAAATTTCTGATGAAATGGGTATATTTCTAGGAACATATTAACTTTCCCATAAATCTTTAATTACCATTTACTATATTTTCCCTTGTAGGTATTATGACTTTTATTTTTAAAATTCTACTTTAAAAATAAATAAATAAATAAATAAAAATAAAAAGTCTACTTTTAATAAGATTGAGATTGGCCAATGCCAATTTTTCACAGAATGTTTTTATTGCTTTCAGAGAAAACTTTGTTTCTGTGTTACTTTTTCTTTCTTTACTGAGATCTGCCATTTTTTTTTAAACAATTAAATAACAATTTCTTAACCTGTTTTTCCAGAATTTATTTCTTGGACTCTTATATCCCTATTTACTTAATTAAGTTGTTGCTTGTTTTAGTGAATTCCTTGAATTCATGGTGAATGTGTTTAATTGTGTGGCAGCTTATTTCTAGCATGTTCCTTTAAATCTCTTTTTTCTTTCATTCTTTTTGCTTATAACGTCTTTGTACATTAGATTTTTATTGTTATCTTTAAGTAAGGAGATTTTTTCCCCTGGACAGATTGTTTATAAGAAGCTCATTTGGTGTGGAGTCAAAGCCATGGATATGACATCTTCTTGATTCCTTATTTAATTATTGATGGCATAGGATTCAGGGGCCAGGGTTTTGGTGTGAAGTAGGTTGTGAATGTGCAAGTGTATGAAAGAGAAAGATTAGAGCATATATAGTCTTTTCAAGTATATAGGAGACATTTTCAGAGAAATGATAATGTTTTAAGCCTCCTAAACAGAATAAATACATTGCAAAGAGGCCATCTAGAATCTTTGAAGACAGTTAAATGAAGAAATAAAAAAGATAGCTTCTAAACATCATAATTTTAGACATTCAAATCTTAAGAGCATCTTTTTAAAAAAAATTGTATTTATTTATTTTTGACTGTGCTAGGTCTTATTGCTGCCAGCGGGCTTTCTCTAGTTGTTGTGATGTGTGGCCTTCTCATTGTGGTGGCTTCTCTTGTTGCAGAGCACAGGCCCTAGAGCACACAGGCTTCAGTAGTTGCGGTGCACAAGTTTAGTTACCACATGGTATGAAAAACCACAAGTATCTTTAATACTTTCTCTGTCCCGTCCTCCCTACATGCTTATTCCCTCCTCTGAATTCAGTAACCTGCTTTATACATATTAGTACAACTGAATCATCTCCATACTAGCTCTGTATCCATCTGCCTAGTGTCCCTCCTTGTATATCTCAATATGTACAAAATTTATTAATTCTTGTCTTCTTCCCCCAGCCTCCACCTCTAGTCCTTAAATTCATCTGTGACCTTAGAATCTATAGCAACACAAAACTGATAACTGAGAGTTACTTGAGTCCCATTATCTCATCTTCACACTTGGTATCAATTTTATCTCCTTAATAATTAATATCAATCTGTTCTATAGCGTTACTACAGCCTTTCTTTAGGTAAGTAAGAAATTTGTATCCTCCCACCTGAATTCTGCAGTGGTTTTCATGACTTATTTTCCAGTTTTGCTCATTTCAGAATGTCCTCTTATGAGAATAATCTTTCTCCAGTATATTTTTTCAACTTTTATTTGTTTTGAAATAATTACAGATTCAAAGAGCATTGCAGAATATAATACAGAGAATTCTTCCATAAATTCCAGTTTATTGTGGTGCATGGTTATTTTTATTCATTGCTGGATCCAGTCTGCCAGTATTTTGTTTAAGATGTTTACATCTAAATTCATAAAAGAGATACTGGTCTGTAGTTTTCTTTTCGGTACTGTCTTTGTCCTATTTTGGTATCAGGGTAATAATACTGACTTCATAAAATTTGTTGGGCTTAATTAGAAGGGCTTCCTCCTCCTTTACTTTCTGAATGGGATTATGTAAAAATGAGACTAACACTTCTTTAAAAATTTAGTAGAACTCTCTAGTAAAACTATCTGGGCCTGGAGATTTTTTTTCAGGAGATTTTAAATTATGATTTTAATTGAATGGTGTGGGATTATCAATTTATCTATGCCATAATGTAAGTTTTGCTAGTTTGTGGTTTTCTTTTTTTCTTTATCACATCAAGGGTTTTATTGCAAAATGGGACCTTTGTTCTTACCTAGTAAATCCATGTCAAAGGATAAGCCAGGATTTAGATACATATGTAAGCCATCTCTTTAAGCATCTCATTCACTTCAAATTAGAACATATATCTGGAATTTACTGTTGCCAAGTCTCAACTGTGCTTATCATGATAGTGGTTAAAACTGGAAGATGTTAAAAAAACCCAAAACCCTGATGTCCTACTATTTATATTCAGTCTTCTTGTTTGGAACAAAAGGTAAAGAATTCACAAACATCACCATCAAAGCATCTGTTTCAAATCAGACATCAGCCTTCAGCTTTTGAAATAATTTCTTTGTGATTAAGCAAATAGCAGCTGAAGATACATGTCAGCTGCTTCTTTCTTCCCAGAGAACCTGGCAGGATGACTGCACCCCAGGAGCTTCTCTGTGTTGAATCTGAGTGGTGGAACAAAAAGAAAAGCAGCCTTTTCCAATCCAAATCATGGAGGTAAAGTGTAGAGAAGAGATATCCACATTTCAATAGGGAAGGTGACCAGATAAAAGAAGTAGGACTACCCCACTCCAGGAGACAATGTAGAAATACTTGCCAAATCCCGAGTTCAGCATTTTGTTTTCTTTTTGAGATGAATATAAAAGCACCTAAATGGCAAGGAAACTGTTCTTCCTCGCAGGGGCCAGCAGAAGCACTCCAGAGCCCTGGGGCCGGCCCGCTCCCTGGCCCAAAGGCCAGATAGACTCAACAAGCCTCACTCCGCCATCTTCACTCCTTCTCAAGTCCACCAACCCTGCCTAGTTTGTGGTTTTTGAGGAATTGGTCCATTTCTTCTAAATTGCTGACTCTTTACCAGCATAGAATTTTTGTATTCCCTTATTTTTCTTTTAATGGCTGCCAGATCTGTAATCATAGTCCTATTTCATTCCTGACACTGGTGATTTGTATCTTTTTAATCCTTGATTACTAGGTCAGTCAGCAAGATTTAGCAATTTTATTTATTTTTTCCCCAAATAATACGTTGTGTGTTATTGATTTTTCTCTAGTTTTAAAAAAAAATTGTTTTCAATTTCATTGATATTTATTTACTATTATTTTCTTTTTTCTGCTTGCTTTGGGTTTATTTTGCTTTTCTTTTTCTACTTTCTTGAGGTAGGAATTTAGATTATTGACTTGAGAACTTTCCCCTTTCCTTTTTCTTTTTTTAAAATTGATGTAATTGACATATCCCACATTAGTTTTAGGTATACAACATTATTCAATCTTTGTGTATATTGTGAAATGGTCACCACAATAAATCTAGTTTTCATCACACGTAGTTACAGATGTTTTTCTTGTGTTGAGAACCTTTAAGATATTTATTAACTTGCACAAGTTAATAAACTTTCTTATAAACAAGAAAGATTATATTTCTAATCTTTTGAGGAACTTCCATAGTATTTTCCGTAGTGATTGTACTAGTTTACATTCTTCCAGTATTGCACAAGGATTCCCTTTTCTTCACTTCTTTGCCAACACTTGTTATTTCTTGTGGTATTTTTTGTTTTTGTTTTGTGGGGTGGGTTTTTTTGATAATAGCCATTCTAACATGTGTAAGGTGGTATCTTATTGTGAATTTAACTTGTATTTCCCTGATCATTAGTGATGTTGAACACGTTTTCATATATCTGTTGGAAATCTGTATATTTTCTTTGGAAAAATACCCTATTCAGATCCTCTGCCCATTTTTTATTTGGATTGTGTGTTTCACCTTTTCTATAAATTTCCCTTTCAGCATCTCACAGATTTTGATATGTTACATATTTTTTACCAGCCAATAAACATAAAAATTTTGATTTAGTTAGTAATCAAATAACTGTAAAGATAATGCATTACCATTTTTGCCCAGCATGACAAAGATTTTAAAAGAACAGCACTTAATGGTAATAAGAGATAAGATGAGTTGATATGTAGTATTTTTCATTTTCTTTCAGTTCTCTGTATTTTCTAAATTTCTTTTGAGGATTTCTCTTTGACTTGTAGTTTATTTAGAAGTATGTTGATTGATTTCAAGATATTTTGTGACTTTTCAGTTTTTGTTACTATTTTCTAACATAATTCCTTTGGAGATTTTTCTGTTGTCTTTCTGTTACTGATTTTTAATTGGATTCCATTATTTTCAGAGAACAACTTTGCGTTATTTCAGTTCTTTCCAGTTTTTTGAGATTTGTTTCACAGCCTAAGATATGGTCTGTTTCGTCATTGTTCTGTGGGTTCTTGAAAAGAATGTGTATTTTTCTTCTGTTGGAATATCCTATAAATATTGATTAGATATTGTTTGCTTTTCTATAGCATTGATAATACTCTCTCTGTTATTTCTGCAATTTGCTGAGTGTGGGATGTTCAAGTCCCTATAATCCCTTTTTTAAGTGTTTATGACTCCAGGTGGAAATAAGTCATTCCTTCAATTATGCACTTCCTGACTAGATTTTTTAAATATAAATGATCATGTTTAACAGAGAAGGCAATGGCAACCCACTCCAGTACTCTTGCCTGGAAAATCCCATGGACGGAGGAGCCTGGTAGGCTGCAGCCCACGGGGTCGCTAAGAGTCGGGCACAATTGAGAGACTTCACTTTCACCTTTCACTTTCATGCATTGGAGAAGGGAATGGCAACCCACTCCAGTATTCCTGCCTGGAGAATCCCAGGGACAGAGGATCCTAGCGGGCTACCATCTATGGGGTTGCACAGAGTCGGACACGACTGAAGTGACTTAGCAGCAACAGCAGCAGCAGCAGATCATGTTTAAAAAAAAAAAATTTTTATTATGAAAAAAAATGTAAACATATCCAAGAGTAAAGAGAATAGTATAAGGAACCCTTGTATCTATTATACTGATCACTCAGCTTTAGTAGTCATCAATATTCTGTCATTTTATATTAACTAAAGTCACCCTCCTCCCCAACTGCCAGATTATTTTAAAGTAAATTCCAAAAGCCATTTTATCTGTGAATACTTTGTTGTATATCTCTTAAGATATGAGAATTCTTTTTTTTTCCTTTTTGTTTAATGTAACCATAAAGCCATTATCACACCTATAACATAGTGACAGTAATTTCAAAGTATCATCTAATATACAGTTTTTATTTGAATTTCTCTTAAGATACCCTGGATGAGGAAATGGCAACCCACTCCAGTATTCTTGCCTGGAAAATCCCATGGACAGAGGAGCATGGCGGGCATGGGGTTGCAAAAAGTTGGACACAACTGAGCATGCACACAGACATACATACAGACCTGCCATAAGTATCTTTTTAATGTTGGTTTGCTTTGATTAAGAGCCAAACAAGGTCCATAAATTGCACTTGGTTAGTATGACTCTGAAGTCTCTTTTTTTGGGGGGAGGGAGTTGGGGAGCACAGCACAAGGCTTGTGGGATCCTAGATCCCAACCAGGGACTGAACCCAGGATCTCAGCAGTGAAAGCTCCAGCTTCCAACCATTGAACCGCCAGGGCATTCTCTTAGTCTCTTTTAATAAAGAAAAGATTCCCCTCTTCCCTTCTGTGGCCATCATTGAAGCACCAGCAGCCAAAATGAAGTTCAGTCCCTTTGTGACTTCTGACCTAAGCAAGAATCAAAAAAGGCATTTCCATGCGTCTTCCCACGTTCGCAGGAAATTACATCTTCTCCTCTTTCTAAAAAGCTAAGACAGAAGTGCAGCGTCCGATCCATGCCCATCCGAAAGGATGATGAAGTTCAGGTTGTATGAGGGCACTACAAAGGGCAGCAAATTGGCAAAGTAGTCCAGGTTTACAGGAAGAAATATGTCATCTACATTGAACGAGTGCAGCAGGAGAAGGCTAATGGCACAGCTGTCCATGTGGGCATTCACCCCAGCAAGGTGGTTATCACCAGACACACTGGCCAAAGACCACAAAAAGATCCTCGAAGGTAAAGCCAAATCTCACCAAGTAGGAAAGGAAAAGGGCAAATATAAGAAAAACAATTGAGAAGATGCAGGAATAAAGTCATCTTGTCTACAGCTTTCATTAAAAACTGTTAAAAAAAAAAAGAAAAGATTCCCCTCCATATTTTTTTCTTTTGTGATTTATTTTTGAAGAAACAGGTCATTTGCTGCCTTCTGGATTTAGCTTATGTTTTAGTCTTGATATTGTTGAACATTTTCCTCTACACTTCACATTGTTGTTGTTTAGTCACTAAGTTGTGTCTGACTCTCTGCGACCCCATGGATTATAACCATGGACAGGTTCCTCTGTCCATGGGATTTCCCTGGCAAGAATACTGGAGTGGGTTGCCGTTTCCTTCTCCAGGGAATCTTCCCAACCCAGGGAGTGAACCCTCATCTCCTGCATTGCAGGCGGATTCTTTGCCCCTGAGGCACCAAGGAAGCCTTACATATGAATAATTTGTTGGATCTAGAGGCTTAATGAGTTTCAGGTTGTATTTTTCTTTATTTATCATATCAGGAGGCACATAATACCTGGTTATCTCTTTTTATGATGTTAAAATTGTTGATTCGTTGCAGATGTTCTTAGCTCATTCATTCATTTTAAACTTCAGCCTTTCACATGAAACAGTTCAGCAACCTTTAATGATTATTGTCTAAATCTGTTATTTCATTACAAATTATAAAATGATGTTATTCTGATTCTATCCTAACTTCTTCATTAATTAGCCAGAAAGCATTTTGTAAGGAACTGTGCCTCATCATTTTTTTGGTTATTCTGCAATACAAAAAAATTTTAATATAAATCTGATTAGCTTAATTACCTTTACTTAAAGTGGAAAATTCATACTTGTTCTATAGCAAACTGTTTTTCCCATAACCACCTTCCTGGCATGTCATGCAGACTTCTCTTCATTTACACAGAGCTATTTGCTATTCTCCAAACTCATCGTGTATTTTCCTATATCCACACCTTTGGTTTTGTCTTTTCTGGGAAATGACTTCCCTCACCACCCCCATTCTGTATTATACTTCTCATCTTCTAACTTAAATTCCTCAGTTAATGTGAACTTAAACCCCCATGTAAAATGTATTTTTCCTTTTTGGGGACCTCAGTGTTTTCTACATGGAGATTTACTTTTTAACCCTTTAGTGAATATGTGACTTTCTTTTTTAAAAAAACATAGGTCTTGTTTATTTTCCAAGTCTTTTAAGTTGCTAGAAGATTAGAAACATAAGTAATTCATTTTTGTGTTTCCAGGACTAGCATAATGGGTTTGCCTAAATTGCTCAGAAATTATATTTTAGGTTATTCATCCAGTTGCTGGAAAACTACAAGAGAGCCTATTTCAGTCTTCAGTTTTGAAAAGTGAGTAATTGACTGATCATAGTATAGAACAATATCAGAAATTCTTTACTGGACTTCTTTCTTCCATACAATATTATGTAAAACTAGATATTTAATATACACTCTATAGACTGAAGTGACTTAGCATACACACATGCACACTCTATATGAAATATTATTTTTTAAATGTTCCTGGATTACACAAGTATATGCATTTGTCAAAACTTCAAATGGTACTCAGAGGATTTGTACATTTCATTGTATGTAAGGCTTACCTTAAAAAAACGATAAAAACATGTTATACTCTACTTAATGATTTGCATTTTTGAAGTATTTAGAAGGAAGTATACTGGCACCTACAGTTTTTGAAATGCACAGAAAAGATGGATTGATGGATGGGTAAATATGTGGTAAAAGCAAGTAGAGTAACATGTTAGTGATAGATTATAAGTGGTAGTTATATAGGTTTTACCTATATAATTCTTTCACATTTTCTGTATAAAATTTCATAATAAATTTTTAGGGAAATGAAGGGGCTGAGGCTTTAAAAAAAAGAGACAAACTAATAACTACAAAACTCAAGTTCTATATTCCTAAATAAAGTGTCTCCATCCTCCAAAGCTAAGTATTCATGCTGAACAGGAATGTGCCCTTACAGGGATCAGTGTCCTTCAGTGATGTGGCTGTAGATTTCAGCAGAGAGGAGTGGCAGCAATTGGATCTTGATCAGAAAAACCTGTACCGGGATGTGATGCTGGAGACCTATAGTCACTTGCTCTCAATAGGTAAGCACAGTCAACTGGGTGTCTTGAGGGAAGGCCCCACTGAGAGTGTTCTTATTCTCAGGTGCTGAATGCTATGAGACATCTGACTTATATGATGGTTTTGCCCTTATTTGGTTTTGCCTGCTAGACTCCTCAGTCCATGGAATTCTCCAGACAAGAATACTGGAGTGGGTAGCCATTCCCTTCTCCAGGGGATCTTCTGAGGTCGAACCTGGGTCTCCTGCATTGCAGGCAGATTCTTTACTGTCTGAGCCACCTAAGAATCCCTACCTATTGGGTTTATGTTACCTATTATATTTATGTTATTTATTTTATTTTATTTATTTTATTATGTTTTACTTATTTCTGTTATATACCTATTTTATTTATGTTACCACTAACATAAATAGTCAATGTATATTTTGTATGTATTACATATTGTATTCTTATAATAAAGTAAGCTAGAGAAAACAATTACCAAAGAGGCACACTTACAGTAATGCAGTTCTTGGAAAGCAAAGTTATAAAATAATAAGAAAACTAACACATTATTAATTTTATGTTAAATATCACTCACCTTATGCCTATGTAAGAATAGCCTGTCAGCCTCAGTATAGGTCTTATGCATGACGTTTTACATGATGAATACTTAGGCAATGATGATGATGAAACTAAAACTCCTCATATAATTCTTATCAATAGATTTTCACAGGAAGACACATGCATATACAACAGATAAGTTTATTAACTGTATAGCACGATGAGTATTTATTGCTTTTTAGATGGAAGTAGATCATCATAAAAGTGTTCATCATCTTCACATTAAGTAGGCTGAGAAGGAGGAAGAAAATAAATTGGTTTTCTGAGACAGAGGTGGCAGAGGCAACAGAAGTGGGGGAGGTAGAAGAGTTGAGGCTGGAGAAGCAGGCATACTCAGTGTAACTTTACGGAAATACATCATAATTTCTGTCTTTTTCGCTTTTTCATTTCTCTAAAAATGCTTCTTTACCATACCAATCCTTCTTCCACCATTTGCTTTAGTTTCGGTGCCCATATCATAGAAAGGTCCATGTGGTAAAAGAAGTCAGAAACAGTCTTAAGTAAGCGGAACCCATCTGCTAAACTGTCTCATGTCAGTTTGTTCTCTGGCGCTGCTTATTTTGTCTGTTTCCTACCATCTGGCACTGATTTGAAAGCCCTCACATTTACCAAGCCTGTGGTATGATGTCTATTAGCTCTTGAATTTCTCCAAGATCCATATCTTCAAATCCTTCACACTTTCACCTCCACTTTTTTTGCCTTATTCTCAATGTCTTTCATGATTTCCCTGATTGGTTCAGCCGTAAATCCTGTAAAGTTATGGACAACATCTGGACACAGTTTCTCTGGCAGGAATTTATGGTTCAGGCTTGATGACTTTTATAGCTTTTTCTATAACAAGAATGGCATCTTCAGTGGTGTAATCCTTCCAGCCTTTCCTGATGTTTGTCAAGGTTCTCTACATAGCATTGACATTCCTTTCCATGGACTCTCATGTGTAATAAGCTTTAATGATCCTTGTGACCCCCTGATCTAGGGGCTACACTAGAGATGTGTGTTTGTGGACAAGTAGACCACTTTATCACCTTTGGTGTTGAACTCATGGGGTTCTGGGTGGCCAGTGGCATTGTCCAATATCAAAAGAACTTTAAAAGGCAGTCCCATGTTGGCGAGGTACATCCTGACTTAAGGGACAAGCATCAGTGGAACCAATCCAGAAAGAAGTTTCTTGCTGTTCAGGCCTTCCTGTTTTACAGCCAAAAGACTGGCGGCTGATGTTTATCTTTTCCCTTCAAGGCTCGGGTGTTAGCAGCTTTATAGTAAAGGGTTGTCCTGATCATAAACTCAATTGCACTTGCACAAAACAAGGGAATTAGTTAGGATTTTAGTTCCTGTCTTAATTCCTGGTGCTTACTCCTTTGTCTTTTGTGGCTTCCCCCCACCCCCCAGAATAGAGCACTTTAATCTGCATTAAAAACTGGTTCAAACAAATATCCTTTCTCCTCAATGATTTTCTTAAAGACATCTAGGAACTCATGTGTTCCCTTTTGGTCAGCAGAAGCTGCTTGTCCTGTTATCTTTTTTAAAAGCCAAACCTCTTTCTAAATTTATCAAACCATCTTTTACTGGGATTATATCCTCTCTCTTTAGGCCCTTCACCTTCCTTTTACTTTAATTTATCATATAATTACTTTGCTTTTTCTCAAATAGCATTAGAGTTTCTAGTATACTTCTCTTACAGTAATTCTGAACCAACATAAAAACTACATTAAAAAAAATTATTTTTGGCTGTGCTGGGTCTTCGTTGCTGTGCAGGCTTTCCTCTAGTTGCAGTGAGCTGGGACTACTCCAGTTGCAGTGTGCAGACTTCTCATTGTGGTGGCTTATCTTGTTGCAGAGGGCATCAGTAGTTGCAGCACATGGGTTCAGTAGTTGTGGCTCCCAGGCTTTGGAGCACAGGCTCAATAGTTTTTGTGGCACACAGACTTATTTGCTCCACAGCATGTGGGATCTTCCAGGATCAGCAATTGAACCTGTGTCTCTTGCACTGGCCGGAAAATTCTTTACCCTTGAGCCACTTCCCTATGCAGGGAAGCCCAAAACTCCACTTTTAACAGAAGATAAAAAAGTATTTCTTAAAAAGTGCAAGGTTTTTGTATCTTCTGGTTTAGCTATAGCAATGCTTTATGAATTTCTTTTTCTCTTTTTAGAATGGTCTTTATACTGAGTTTGTTTATCTTGAAATGGCTGGCAACCACAGCTTTAGCTTGGAAAATATTTTCAATAAAATCCATGTGAGTGGACCCATGCAGTTCAAAGCTCTGTTGTTCAAGGATTAACTGTACTTTGTTCTCAGAGATACATGGTTAGTTTGCTGAAAAACAAAGCCTCATTGAACAACAAGACTTTATTGATTGGGCTCAGAAACACAATTCAGTTCAGTTCAGTTGCTCAGTTGTGTCCCACTCTTTGTGACCCCATGGACTGAAACACAATTAGCTGGACCTTAATCAAGCAATTCAACTTTTTCTTATAATAGCACTTAGTATGGGTTCCATGATATTTCAAGGTTTATGGTATTGAGTGAACATGAAAAAGTACATGACAACCCAGGGAGATTACTTTTTAGTGCTATGTGCAATTTACTGGAGAGAGGGATTGCTCATGAAGTGATGATTAGGGTATTTTAAGTGGATGTTCACAGCACTTAAACTTACTGAAATAGCAATAGGAGGTAGCTACAAAATCATTACAGCAGTACAGTATGCACTACAGTTTATGCAATTATAATTTACTATTGCATCTTTACATTTGTCTGCATTTCTCTGGACTGCGAATGGTGCCATGTACAGTTATAAGTTTTTGTGTGCATAAATTTTGGTAAATTTTAACTTTTTAGAATAGATTTGTGTATACTTTATGGTGGGCTTCCCTGGTGGCTTAGACGGTAAAGAATCTGCCTGCAATCAGGAGACCCCGGTTTGATCCCTGGGTTGGGAAGATCCCCTGGAGAAGGGAATGGCAACTCACTCCAGTATTATTGCCTGGAGAATCCCATGGACAGAGGAGTCTGGTCAGCTACAGTCCATGAGGTCGCAAAGGGTCAGACATGACTGAGCACAGGCACAAGCAAGCAAGACCTTTTATCATTTCTCATGAACAGGATATCAAGTTCCTGAAACCGAGGTTTTCATGTTGGAACAAGGAAATGAGCCATGGGCATTGCAAGGTGAGGGCCCATATCAGAGCTGTCCAGGTGAGTGAGAGTGACCCAGACTGATGGGACACAGGGGAATAAATCTCAGCCATCTTGAGAAAGGCTGGCATCTTTGAATTGCTATTAGTATGACTCTTCTGGAAGGTTCTGGTTTTTTCTTTTTTTTTATTTCTTGAGAGCCCTTGACATTGGCCTCTCAAATAACTAAATGCCTTCTACATAAATGCCTTTGTCAATTCTAACTATCTTCTCCCTTGGCTTTTGGCCTCTGGATCACATGCCAATCTGCCTCAATAAATATTTTTTTTTCTTGGTTATGCTTTCTCTAACACTTTTCTTTCTGCTTTCCCCATTGTCTGAGATTCACTCTTTATGTAGTCAGCTGTTTGTGGATTTGCTTTCTTTAAAACTTACTATGTGTCACACACTCCCACTCCTGCTAGTCCTCTCTCATTTCTTATTGTGAGATGGTTCTAAACTTTATTTCCAGTCATGCTCTCTTCCTGTTTTCTCCATAGTCACTGACTTAAGATTTCTCACTTTCCCATTCCCTATGCCTTTCATCCAACTGATTACTTAGGGCTCACTGTCACTTAACTGTTAGGAGTATCTTTCTGACTTTTCCTTCCAAAATTACTTGAGACTTCATACTGACTGGGGACTCTCTGCCTGGCTGACTGATTTTTGAAATTGCTTTCTTTCTGTACTTCACAAGATGAGGTTTGAGTTTGATCATGTCTTCATTTAGGATGCACTATCATCATCAGTATGAGTTAAGGATTCTCTATAATTTTTTTTCTATTTATTCCTTTTTTCTTCTTTCCCCCATACTCATCTCACTTCCCATCACAAGCAATTGTTTCATATGACAGAAGGATATTTTTCAGTTCATACATGGTCTTTTAAAGTTTAAAATGACTTGGGGTATGTATTATTAATTTATATAAATGTTATTGTGCTGTATATCTTGTTTGCCTTTTTTTTTACTTCTGCACATAGTGAATTGAGTTCATAAAGTTTATTCTCTAAATAAACTGAATTCTATCCCACAGTGTTTCCTATCACCCCTGTCACCAAGTCTACTAAGTCATTGATTCACCTTCATCACTCTTTTTATTGTGTTCAACTTGGATGAACCATATCAGCCTCTCATCTTGCCTTTGCTAGCTGTTCTTTGAGCTAAAATCATTCTCCTTTGAGAAGGAGACTTTGGGTTTCCAACCTCAAAAACTTTCTATGTTGAGAGGGAAGGTGATACTACAAATGACGTGTTGTTGTATTTTATTCTAGAATTGTGGCAGATTGGTGACCAGATAGAGAGCTATCATCAGAGAGAAAACAGATCTTTAAGAAATGTGGCTTTCATCAAGAAAGTATTGACTATACAGAGGGATTATGCATATAAGGGCATAAGAAAAATAATTCATGTGAGCCAAAACATTCCTTCCCCAAAGAGACCTCATCATCAATGTGACTTATTTGGAAGTGCTTTAAGCTGTAATTTAGATTTATGCAATCATAATAGAAACAGTGGATCAAAGAACATTAATAAGATTACTGAATATAGTAAAATTTCCCCCTATACTAAACAAGAGTGTACTCCAAGAGGAGAGAAATTACAAGACCATAATCAATGTGGAAAAATTCTCAGCTATAAACAAGCACCCTCTCAACATCAGAAAATTCATACTGGGGTGAAATCTTATGAATGTCCTGAATTTGGAAATACCTTCACTCAGAAGTCACAACTCAAGGTACATTTGAAAGTTCATACAGGAGAAAAACTCTATGTATGTATTGACTGTGGGAAGGCTTTTGTACAGAAGCTAGAATTTATCACACATCAGAGAACTCATACTCGAGAGAAGCCCTATAAGTGCAGTGAATGTGGGAAAGCCTTTTTCCAAGTATCTTCTCTTTTCAGGCATCAGAGAATTCATACTGGAGAAAAACTCTATGAATGCAGTGAATGTGGGAAAGGCTTCTCTTATAACTCAGATCTTAGTATACATCAGAAAATTCATACTGGAGAGAGACACCATGAGTGCAGTGACTGTGGGAAAGCATTCACACAGAAGTCCACGCTCAAGATGCATCAGAAAATTCATACAGGTGAGAGATCCTATATATGTATTGAATGTGGACAGGCTTTCATCCAGAAGACCCACTTGATTGCACACCGAAGAATTCATACTGGAGAAAAACCATATAAATGCAGTAACTGTGGGAAGTCGTTCATTTCCAAGTCACAGCTGCAGGTACATCAACGAACTCACACAAGAATGAAACTGTCTATGTGCAGCGAATATGGAAAGGTTTTCAACGATAATTCCAACCTCAATACACATAAGAAGGTTCAAATTAGAGAGAAATCTTCCATATGTACTGAATGTGGTAAGGCATTTACCTACAGGTCAGAGTTGATTATACATCAGAGAATTCACACCGGAGAAAAACCTTACGAATGTAGTGATTGTGGAAAAGCCTTCACTCAGAAGTCTGCACTCACAGTGCATCAGAGAATTCATACAGGAGAAAAATCATATATATGCATGAAATGTGGTCTAGCCTTCATCCAGAAGGCACACTTGATAGCGCATCAAATAATTCATACAGGAGAGAAACCTTATAAATGTGGTCACTGTGGGAAATCCTTTACTTCCAAGTCACAACTCCACGTGCATAAACGAATTCACACAGGAGAGAAACCCTATACGTGCACTAAATGTGGGAAGGCATTCACTAACAGATCAAATCTCATTACGCATCAGAAAACTCATACAGGAGAGAAATCCTATATATGTCCTAAATGTGGCAAGGCCTTCACTCAAAGATCAGACTTGATTACACATCAGAGAATTCATACTGGGGAGAAACCTTATGAATGCAGTACATGTGGAAAAGCCTTTACCCAGAAGTCACACCTCAATATACACCAGAAAATTCACACTGGAGAGAGGCAGTATGAGTGCCATGAATGTGGGAAAGCCTTCAACCAGAAGTCAATACTCATTGTGCATCAGAAAATTCATACAGGAGAGAAACCCTATGTGTGTACTGAGTGTGGGAGAGCTTTCATCCGGAAGTCAAACTTTATTACTCATCAGAGAATTCATACTGGGGAGAAACCTTATGAATGTAGTGATTGTGGGAAATCCTTCACCTCCAAATCTCAGCTCCTGGTGCATCAACCAATTCACACAGGAGAAAAACCATATGTGTGTGCTGTATGTGGGAAAGCCTTTAGTGGCAGGTCAAATCTCAGTAAACACCAGAAAACTCATACTGGAGAGAAGCCCTACATTTGTTCTGAATGTGGAAAGACCTTCAGACAAAAGTCAGAACTGATTATACACCATAGGATTCATACTGGAGAGAAACCTTATGAATGCAGTGATTGTGGTAAATCATTTACTAAGAAATCACAGCTCCAAGTGCATCAGCGAATTCATACAGGAGAGAAGCCTTATGTGTGCACAGAGTGTGGAAAGGCCTTCACTGACAGGTCAAATTTGAATAAACACCAGACAACACACACTGGAGATAAACCCTATAAGTGTGTCATCTGTGGGAAAGGCTTCGTTCAGAAGTCAGTGCTTAATGTGCATCAGAGTATTCACACTTGAGATAAACAGTCTGAGAGAAACCTCAGTGAGATCAGATCTGATTTTATATTATGAAATTCGTGCCACAGAAAATATGCATATTATCTTAAGTAGAAATGCTCCATCAGAATGTCACATATTAGTATACAGAAGAGGACTTCTGAAAGGGCCCTGAAAGAGAGGGCCCCTTTCCACATTGTCACCAGCCTCAGTAAACCCTGAGGCATTTATACTGAAAAGGAACTTTGTCAACTTGGTACATCAGTAGAATTTTTCTCATGAAAACTGTAATGGAACACTATTACCAAATTCTGCACTGGAAACATTATGTGAAGTCATGTTAATGATAACCCTGTTTACTGTGGAATAGGTAACATGCCAGTAAGTTGAATGGTAGAACAACATAATATATATGATAATGATAAGTCCTGAGTTCTGTGAGGTGTTTGTTGCAGAACACATTGTCTAACAGAATTTTGGGTGACATTCTTCTGCTGAATCTAACATGGTCTTGTCTATCCAATTCCCTATTGCGTATTTTTATCAAGAAAGGCATGCCACAATGAAAAATTTTTGTATACAGTTGACTGCCCCATTATCCTCTAGCACCCCTCGTTAGCTATCAGTAGATGTCTTCAACTCCCATACAGCACATTGTCTTCTGACTGCTATAACTGCATTATGACTGCTCATTCATGCTAAACACCATGTGTGCTGACTACCCTTATCTCCCAGACTTACTGACCCTTAATTACCCTGCAGCATAATGTCCTGTGAATTCCCATTACCTTCAGGAAAGCTTCTGACATAAGAATGCTCAGGTCATCTCAGTCAACTCTTCACCTGTCTCCCGTTTGCTGTCATAGTTCTTCAAGCTCATTTTCCTTCCTTTATGACTTGCCCTTTATAATGACAGTAACGAACCACTAACTCATAAAAACAAACCTCAACATTACCTTCACTGTCTTCTTTCTATCCATCTTCATTCCATACACTCCACAAGGACCTTTTCCCCCATGTCTCTCAAACACATCAAATTAGGTCCTGCCTCAGGGCCTTTGCATTTACAGTACCCTCTTCAAAGAGCACAGTTCCTCATTATATTTGTGTGCTTTACTCCTTATGTCTTTCATCCAGCAGCATCTCTTTGCAGAGGCTGTCCCTTCCCTTCCCTGCCTGTCTGACTTAAAATTCCATCCCTCTCCTCTTCCTCCTTTATCATTCTCCATAACACTTATTACCACAGTACCCTGTATTTTTCACTTGTTTATCTATGGTTCCCATTCTAGAATGTTTTTTTCCCATTTTGTTCACCACAGTGAACTTAGACCCATGCCTAACATCCAGCAGTCCTTCCATGAATGCACATTATGGAGTGTTGACCCTGCTCTTCTCACAATTTCCCTTTGATGCTTTCTATGTGTGTGCTGTGCTCAGTCACTCAGTCATGTCCAAGTCTTTGTGACCCCATGGACTGTAGCCCACCAGGTTCCTCTGCCCATGAGATTTTTTTCCGGCAAGGATACTGGAAGGGGTTGCCATTTCCTTCTCCAGGGCATCTTCCCAACCCAGAGATCGAACTCCCATCTCCTGTGTCTCCTGCATTAGCAGGCAGATTCTTTGCCACTGAGCCACCTGGGAAGCCCAGTGCTTTCTATATTGCAGCATAAGATGCTCTGATAGGGAGAACCAACTTACCTAATACACAGCAGGTTTTTTCAACCTCAGTCCTTCCTTCCGGTCCCAAAAGTTGTAACATCATTGTAAACCTTTTGGTCTGATGCCAACCCATATAAGCAAAAGAGAACTGAGGCACAGGAAATCAGTCCCACATAGATACTTGATGTTTCAAGATTCCCTTCAGTGATTCCAAAATACCCCAGTCAGCTCCAAAGTGATCACAAAAGAGCATGCTCATTCTGTCCAAGCATTCACAACCCTGCCCTACCCCAGTTGCAACTTGACAGGGCCTTGCCTGCCTCATAAGCTGATGTACAGACCTGCTTATCATGCCCTGACAGGTCTGCCCAAAGCTGCTAATATGGAGAGACCAAAAGCAGAGAGAGGGGTTGCTTTTCCTTGGAAGTCAGGTGGGCAGCCTAAGACTGGGGCAGCAGTGGCCTCACAAATGCATGCAGAGGATCTGATTGAATGATCAGCTGTTGGGTGGCCAAACTGGAACCAGCAGAATGGTTCCTCCAGGTCAGTCCATTGACAACACTGAGAGTGGGCAATAGCTGGTACAGAATTGTTCTCACCTTTGTGAATAGCAGCATGGAGATTGAGAATGGGGACAGAACCTGGTTGAGGGAGCAGGACTAAGGATTCTCATATAATCTCCAATAATCAAATTGGGCAGTGATTAGTGGCATATCCCATTACCTTAATGATGATGTCTTATCCATCATTAGATCTTCTTTATCTCACTGCTTCACAGTAACTGATGAACCCATTATCTTAGAACAATATCTGGTGACCCACTACCCCCTTTTACTGCATCCAGTATTGCTTCTGGGGCTTCACTAAATGTTTTGTGACCCAGCATTATCCCCCAACTGGGGACTGTTTGCTAACTCCTCAGGAGAGTGTGTGGAGATCTCGCCATTATCCCCTTCTTAATCCACAATGTCTGGACACCATTATCCTCCTTTTACCTTATTCCATCACTGTGTCACCTCTTAACTAATTCCAGGAAATAGTGTCTGTAGAGCTTCTTCATTACATCTTCCAGTTAACCTCCAGCATAATGTATATTACTTTGCCCCATTTGTGAAACAGTCTGGTAACCTCCATACTCCTGATTTATTCCCATTTTCACCTAAATCATGACTGATGACCTCTTACAACAATTCTCAGAGTAGGAAACCATAGTATACCCTACCAAATCCAACTTTTAATATTATCTCCTGATTCTTTCATGACACCTCTATCCAGATGGCTTTTGTTTCCCTCCATTAATTGTCCCCCATAGTGATGGTGACAGTCTTCCATTACCTCACACAGCAGTGTTTGTAACCATCCCCAACACAGTATGTGGTGATGCCCTCAATACTCTCTGAACGTTGGTGTGTTCTGTTCATCTGCTTCCCTATCCCCAGGTAAGGGCAATGACTGATAAGACATCATAGACTTCACATTATCCATCTCTGTAGGACCCCCATTAACAACCCGTACAAAGTCTTTGATGACCATTACCCACTAATACAGTATCTGTGACTCTTCCATTAAATCCTGGTAATAACTATTTCCCTATTTGCCCCCAATAACATAGTGTCCACTGGTTCCCTGTTGCTCACATTGCTTCTTCAGGCCACTTAGTGTGGCTCCTGCAAGTCCCCCAGCATTGCTTGTCCAAGTCCCTACTGTTTGCATGGACAGGAACCCTGTGGGGATGAAGAAGGGATGAGGAGAGGGTACTGGCCTCATACACACTGTCCAGGGAATTGTTTGCCTGGAGTAGACTGGGGAGGATCTGGGGGACCCAGGAGATCACATACTGAGATACTGACTTACTACATGAGGAGTGATGCAAGCAAAATAGCTAAAGCTGTCAACATGGATTAAAATCCTGGTGCCAACCCTGATGCCCAGTAACCTCCCCTGAGCCTTGATTGCTTCACCTGTAAAATAGATTTATGGAAGATGAAGGGATTTAATATGGTTCACATGAGGGGAGCAGAGCTAGTGGAGACCAATGAGAGTGTCCCCGTTGTTAATAATATTACCAGTTATAAATGGACACAAGACCAACCTCTGAATGGCTGTACCCAAACCTCACAGAGGTAAATGTATGTTATTTTATAAATTACTTTCAACTATTTCTCTTTTATATTTACTGTAACATAGTATCATAGTGCTGCTGTGCTGTGCTTAGTTGCTCAGTCCTGTCTGGTTCTTTGTGACCCCATGGACTATAACCCAGCAGGCTCCTCTGTCCATGGGGATTCTCCAGGCAAGAATACTGGACTGGGTTGCCATGCCCCCCTCCAGGGGATCTTCCTAACCCAGGGACTGAACCCAGGCCTCCCACATTGCAGCCAGATTCTTTACTGTCTGAGCCACCAGGGAAGCCCAAGAATACTAGAGAGGGTAGCCTATTCCTTCTCCAGAGGACTTTCCTGGCCCAGGAATCAAACTGGGGTCTCCTACAATGCAGGTGGATTCTTTACCAGCTGAGCTACTAGGGAAGCCCAATGTTATAGTACTGAGATATTTTTTAAAGTTAGATTTACTGAAGTATCATTTACACACAGTAATAGTCATCCTTAAAAGTGTACAGTTCTGAGAGTTTTGACAAATGCAGCATGCAATCAAGAAGGCAACACTACAATCAAGAAAACTGTTTCTTCACTACCCTAAATTCCTCCCTATCCCTTTAAAAAATTATGAGTATTTCTTTCTTAAATGTTCTTTTTTTAAGTGGAGTATAATTGCTTTTACAATGTTGTGTTAGTTTCTGCTGTACAACAACCTGCATCAGCTGTATGTATACATATAGCCCTTCCCTCTCATCACCTCATTTCACCCCTCTAGATCGTCACAGAGCACCAGGCTGAACTCCCTGTGCAGTACAGCAGGTTCCCACTAGCTATTTTACACATGGTACAAAGGTCCTATCCCTTTTTGATCAATCTATCTACTCCCAACCCCTCGATATTGCTTATCTCTTTCCTGTTTCTATAGTTTTGCCTTTTTCACATGTCATGAATGTGTGTGTATCCATATAAATATGTAAGTATGTATCTCCTTTTGAGTTTGACTTCTTTCATTTAATGTATCTGGGATTCATCCATATGGTTGTATGAGATACAAATGGAAGTATGATGATGAAAAGACACTGGACATAATTAGTCATCAGGAAAATGCAAATAAAAACCATAATGACATACCATTATGTGCTTATTAGAATAGCAGTGAATAAATAACATAGTGCAAAAGCTGGCAAGAATGTAGAGCAATAGACTTTCATGTATTGCTGTGGGAATGATACAGAGTAGTATATCCACT